CTTCTTCTTCTTCTTCTTCTTCTACTTCCTCTTCTTCTTCTTCTTCTTCTTCTTCTTCTTCTTCTTCGTCTTCTTCGTCTGGTTGTTGCTGTTGTTGTTCTTGTTGTTGTTGTGCAGGTCGACAGCGTGGAGCACGGCTATGGCGCCCAGGTGGTTGTGGTTCTGGTTGTTGTTGTGGTTGTTGCTGTTGTTGTTGTTGTTGTTGTTGTTGTTGTTGTTGTTGTTGTTGTTGTTGTGCAGGTCGACAGCGTGGCACGGCTATGGCGCCCAGGTAAGTGACGCAGGTATGGCCTCCGCGCCTCTTCTTCTTCTTCTTCTTCTTCTTCTTCTTCTTCTTCTTCTTCTTCTTCTTCTTCATGTGGTTGTTGTTGTTGTTGTTGTGCAGGTCGCCAGTGTGGAGCACGGCTATGGCGCCCAGTTAAGTACCGCTGACGCAGGTTGGAGCACGACTATGGCGCCCAGTTAAGTACCGCTGATGCAGGTATGGCCTACGCCCCTCTTCTTCTTCTTCTTCCTCTTCTTCTTGTGCTTGTTGTTGTTGTTGTTGTTGTTCACGTTGCCAGTATGGAGCACTGCGATGGCGCCCAGTTAAGTACCGCTGACGCAGGTATGTGGTGTTATTGTTGTTGTTGTACAGGTCGCCAGTGTGGAGCACGGCTATGGCGCCCAGTTAAGTACGGCTGACGCAGGTATGGCCTCCGCCCGTCTTCTTCTTCTTCTTCTTCTTCTTTTTCTTCTTCTTCTCTTCTTGTTCTCTTCTTCGGCTACTTCTTCTTCTTCTTCTTCTTCTTCTTCTTTTGCATCTTTTGCAGTGAAAGTACACATGGTACCAGTTCATATTTGGGTACCCGAAGCTCATGTAGAAGCACCCACCGCTGGATCTGTTATCTTAGTGGGAATTCTCTTAAAATTGGGAACTTACAGTCTTTTAAGATTTTCTGGTGATGAATTCAATTTTGGAGTAGAAAATGTAGAAGTGTTTGGTGAACCAAAAGTGATTTTGCCTAAACAAATAAAAAGGATATGCAAAATTAAACTAGTTTGGATTGAATTAACACCTATATGGCGAAGTGACAATAATCGCGTAAAAGGTTTTTTTTTGAATTCAGGAAATGGAGGCTACACTGTAGCAATGGCAGGTCATATAGCTTTCTTCTTCTTCTTCTTCTTCTTCTTCTTCTTCGTCTTCTTCGTCTACTTCTTCTTCTTCTTCTTCTTCTTCGTCTTCTTCTTCCTCTTCTTCCTCTTCCTCTTCCTCTTCCTCTTCTTTGTCTTCTTCACTCTTCTTCTTCCCTCTTCTTCTTCCCTCTTCTTCTTCCTCTTCTTCTTCTTCCTCCTCCTCTTCTTCTTCTTCTTCTTCTTCTTCTTCTTCTTCTTCTTCCTCTTCCTCTTCTTCTTCTCTCTTCTTCTTCCCTCTTCTTCTTCCCTCTTCTTCTTCCCCTTCTTCTTCCTCTTCTTCTTCCTCTTCTTCTTCCTCCTCTTCTTCCTCCTCTTCTTCTTCGTCTGGTTGTTGCTGTTGTTGTTCTTGTTGTTGTTGTGCAGGTCGACAGTGTGGAGCACGGCTACGACGCCCGGGTGGT